TTAATAAAACGATGGGTTGGTACAACAATGCCCATCGTTCAAACCTATTCAAGTCCTTTCTCTGTCATTTTCCTTATTTAAAAAAGGGCACGTTCTCTGTCACTTTCCTTATTTAAAAGAGTGGTCCACATTTGGAATCCTAATCAAATTCCGAAGTTGTTCATAGCTTTGCAAACGTCACAATTAAATAATAATTTTTAAATTATCTTAATAAAACGATGGGTTGGTACAACAATGCCCATAGTTCATACCTATTCAAGTTTATACCAATTCATTATTTACATGTTAATTTAAATGGATGGAATTTGATTTTTTTTTAAATAAGATATTGAATTTGAATGTTATGAATGAAAAAATAAACACTGAAAAATCTCTTCACTAATAAGATATAATAAAATTTAATTTTAAATTAATTAAAATTTAATATAATTATCAAATACTAAAAAATTAATATAAAAAAAATCCAAACCAATTCAAGTCCTTTCTCTGTCATTTTCCTTATTTAAAAAGGAGTTCGTTCGCCGTAACTTTCCTTATTTAAAAGAGTGGTCCACATTTGGAATCCTAATCAAATTCCGAAGTTGTTCAGAGCTTTGCAAACGTCACAATTAAATAGTAGTTTTTAAATTATCTTAATAAAACGATGGGTTGGTACAATAATGCCAATAGTTCATACCTATTCAACTTCGTACCAATTTATTATTTATTTATTAATTTTAGTAAAAAATTTTTAATTTTTTAAAAATAAAATTTTGAATTTAAATCTTGTAAATAAAAAAATAAATATTAAAAAAACACTACACTAATAAAATCTAACGAGATTTAATTTTAAATTAATTAAAATTTAATATAATTATTAAATATCAAAAAATTAATTAAAAAAAATTCATAACAATTCAAGTCCTTTCTTTGTCATTTTCCTTATTTAAAAAAGGGTACGTTCTCTGTCACTTTCCTTATTTAAAAGAGTGGTCCACATTTGGAATCCTAATCAAATTCCGAAGTTGTTCACAGCTTTGCAAACGTCATGCAGTGCTGGTGAAGATAAGATATTTGTGTTTGCAAGTTGTGAAGAACATTGACTTGGTAAAAATCCCTCAACATGTTAAAAAAGTTCATCGTCATCTTTCCTCAAAAAAAAAAAAAAGAGTTCATCGTCATCCTTATAATTTAGACAGGAAGCAAGCATGCGTTGGACATGCTCCAAGGCAAAGTGACGACTTTGACTTTACCAATAGCTTTCTAGAGCATGTGATAGTGAATGTAATTATGGTTATTTATTATTTTGTTAAAATTATTTTATTTTATTTAATTATTAAAATAATTAATAATTAAAAAATATTTATTA